CACACACACACACACACACACACACACACACACACACACACACAGTTTCCTGATGAAACAGCAGGCAAAACAGCCTCTTTCCTGCACCGATTTCGACAATAGTGCTCTGGAGAGCCTGCAGGAACAAGACCAGCAGAAGAAACCGAGCTCAATACAGTGAAGGCTGAAGAGTGTTTCTGTCTCACTGGGGCACTCTCATATCCAGCCTTATAAATCAGCTGTCAGTGTAAAATTACCACGAGCCGAGCAGAGATGGGTAAGGCAGAGGCTGATTACAGCCGGCGAGGGCTTGATTAAATGCAGCTGTTGCAGACCGGAGTTATGGCGCTGCCATTTGACACTGCTGCAGCCGACACAATAAGAGCGCCGTCGTTAATGAAGCACAAGTCACAGAGATCTACCGTCTTCATGACGCTGGCACTCAGAGGACACAATTAATAACACGGTCCTCACTCTAAAGTCTCTATAAGTCTAGTGCAACAATGGCATGATGAAACATGACATAAGGGCGACGCTTTACACAACAGAAATATACTCTGGTAAAAAAAAAAAAAACATAAAATAGCACAAGACAAAAAGTACACAAAAGCATGTGGGCAGTTCATCTCTGAAACATCTGATCAATGAGCCTTTTTCACAGCAGATAGTTTGATTTGTCAAAGCAGGAAAAGCACAAGTGTCTCAGTAAATCATGACAACGTGTACAATAGCAGAACCCGAAAACTGAAGCAGCTAAATAGAAATCAGCCATCGCTCGTTTTATTATTTACACCTGTGATTTTTCTACTGTGACACGCCAAAATGTCTCCAGTGAAAAAGGCCTATACGCTGTTTATATAGCAGCACCATGGCAGTTATCCATGTAGCCAACAATGTCTGGTGAGGGTGCCTTCAGTGAACTGTTAACGTATCAGAAACCACACAATAGCACATGTTATTGATAGCTGGTAATGGCTGCCAAATGCTAACAATACTAAGGGTCCACAGCCAGGCTAGCAGATGTGCGAGGCACTGCTTTGAGGTAAATGCTAATGTCAGCAGGCTAAGAGACTTAAAATGTTAACGTGCTGGTGTTTAGCATTCAGTGGTAGTCTAGCATGTTAGTATGCTGGTATTAGCAGCAAACACAATGTACAGCTGATGTCATACGTTTTGCGGGAATTTTAAACCAGCAATAGCAAATTGTTTGGTCTCTTACGGGCAACTAAATACATTTTGTGTACCAAATTTCATGGCAATCCATTCAGTATTTGTTGGGATATTTTAGATTTGACCAAATTCCAGACCAACCAACAGCCATTCCTAGCTTAAACGTCTCACTTAAGCTTGCTGTTAACTCAAGTTAATTTAGAAAGCTAGACAAAAACAGCTGAACCAACAGACTGTATTCAAATCAGTCTGTTGGTTCCTGGTTTCCTCCTCCAAGTGCTCAGAAAGATTGGAAGCATAAAGATAGTTTACTGTGTCAATTCAACGTTATTAAACCATTCATTTGTACTCATTATAAGAGAAAATGTCTTTTTATTTTCCCATTTTGATCTAGACTCTGAACTACACCAATCATGCAAAAGTTCCCACCGTGACAACTGTGCACAAATGCAGATAGATTACAAATGCACGACTGTGCTGCACAATCTCACAAAGCAGAAGCTGTGACTTCTTCACTCCGACGTGCAGCTGACAAATGATTTCTCATCCATCTTTCCGTACATGTGATGCGGCGTTTTCCCCCAGCAGAAAGGTTACAGTCTTAAAAAAAAACATCTTGCTCAGAGGATGACATTTCTTTCAACACCCGCAATGCCAAGAAAATGTCACCAATCTCCCTTTTTATTACCTCAATCTATAAAAGCACTGGAGCTAGTTTACACAGGAGCAGCCAATTCCCGAGAGTGAGACACTGCACACTGATTCAGAGGTCTCGGTCCCAGGCCAGGGAGTGTCTGTCTAGGTTTGTTAGGCATGAACATAGGCTCAAAGGACGCTACTACTGTCTACATGTGTATGAGCACTAACATGCTCGCCTCGCTACACTGACCTCCACATGCTCCGACTGACAGAGGAAGGCTAAATAAAGATGACAGCAATGTACACACACATGTCCACTTGGGTTCCACTTCAGGGTAGAACAAATACACCCCGCCAGAAGCCCACCTCTTGTTAGTAAGCTCCTGTCAGCACAAAAAAAAAAACCCCATAAAGGTCAGGTGTAAAGTAGCTTTGTGATCCCTCTACTCTTCTTCTCCAGGTGTTGTTGGTATGGTCCACTTCATCTGCAATAAGCCAGGCCGGGCAGTGCTCACCAATCTCTTCCTGGGGGAGTGTGGTGGGTGGGTGGCATGGGTGGTAAACAGACTGCCAATGCCTTTAGGCTCCAGATAGACAGGGAGAACAAAGAGAATGGCTGAATATGTGATTCCTGGGAGTACAATAGAGGAGGAGCTGATGTTTTTAAAGCCAGGTAGTTAGCCATTGTTGGACCGGATATCAACTGGGATTTTCAAAAATTGGCTTCAATTGAATCTTGTCTTGTGTCTTGAGAAACGCTGGTCCAGTGGCCCCTGCTGGGTCAGTTATATCTTGACAGATCATGGAGCCGTCATCTCACGGCGGGAGGTTTTCAGCTCTGACAGTCAGCAACATCACAGGAAGCTGATCGACGTCAAAGATGAAAGAGAATGTGATTTTAAGAGCAGAATAAGCAAATGAAGTATAGTGAAGTGGGAAAAGGTCACTTTTGCAAATTCAACTACCTCCAGTGCTTAGCTGATACAAAAAACATTCTCAAACCGACTTCTGACACCTAGAAACTGTTTTCAGGAGATGAATTTTCACATCTGTGCACGTGTGAAGTAGAAGCAACAGTAAGCCCCAGAAGTGATTTCAGATACTTTTAAGTGAACCGTGGTTCTTCTGATAACACTGCCCAAAGCCGAGCTGAGATTACAGAACGGCTTACAGTAACAGGCAGATACATTCCCACACTGAATCCTCCGCCTGCTGTTATTTAAAACATATGTGAAGACTGCACTGACTGCCCGTCCCATACTCCATGGGTTCTGTCACAATAAAGCAAAAACGAAAAACAGCCGATGTAGGCATCTTTGCATGTGCTTCAGTGCGAGCATGTAATCGCAGGAGCAAGTGTATATGGTGTGCTGTAAGGGAAGGGTAGGACAGAGAGGTCAGTGGCAACTAAAGCTCATTGAGATTCAGGTCATGTGCTGCAGAGATTCCCAGGGTGACTCGACTACAGCGGGAAGCTGACAAAGAGAGAACAGCGGAGGGAAGCCAAACCTGCTGATAAGCCTGTCAAATTACCTGCATACCCTCACAGCACACACGGACATGTGACCATGCAAATGTTTGCCCTAGTGCGTTCGTAATTAGGAGAGCTTTAATATAATTATACCTAAATTAAAACATGATGCCATACTCAGCAAAAGACCATTCAAAGCAGTGCAACATTTATAAGTAATTAAATTATAGGCTTTTTCCCACATTTGTTTTGTTTTTCTTCCTGCGGCATATGAAAAATATCAACAAAAAAATGAAAGGAAAAGTGATGATTGGACTGCCACAGCTGTCAGAATCATTCTGTCACAGTAGGCCAGCCTCCAGGCCCCCAGAGGACAACCATGAAAATAATGTCCCCCGGATTCAATAGGGGCTGA